AATATTTAGAGAGCTTAAAACATATCTTGCAATACAAATGAGCCAAAAAAACTAGCACGTGGCAAAAAACAGAGGTGTCAAACTCTACAAATTACATGCGGATAACAGCGGAAACCACACAGACCTATGACCTCTAATGGCTCTACTCTGGTGAAATGTCCTCCTAGAAACAGGATTATTGCTTAGCGAAATATTCAAAGATCTCCCTATTGTACCATACAAGAGGGGCAGATCCTCAAAGATATACTAGTTCAAGCAAAACTCTCAAAGCGGCTATTACACGTGGATAGGAGTTGTGTAAGCCTGTCACCCGATTGTTATCACCGCTAAAATTACTACTTACATTACATGCATGAGGTTTTCATACAAATGCTAGGAGTAATATCTTGCAAATTGTGTGTTGGACTAATGCATGTGATCATGTCGAGTATAGGGGTCACCATTCTTTTAGACGTTATGGTACTATTGCTAGTGGGTAGACTTGTGATGTTTTCCGTTCAGCCAATTCAGTTAAAACGTCACTGTGATTAGTTTTACTTGTTTGTTACTGTTAATGTTAAAGTTATTTCAAAATCAATAGATCACGTTTCAGATTAATCAATTTTTTATAACCAGTATAGAATTACAGGCTGACTTTTATCAACTTCTGATTCTATTATATGGAATAATTTATTTGCCTCAATAAGATATAATGATAACTACATAATCGTTTTTAGTTATCTTAGGTTCGTTTTTACCAGCTGTGTTCTCATTTGGAGGATATCTGCTTGTCAGATGAGTAACGTCCAAAGGTCAAATGTCATGGGTCATAGTCTGGTTAATGTGAAAATATCTTCTAAGTGGTTTTAGATACATTGATTGGAAATAATACGTTTTGGTCCTACCCAACCAAATTCCTGTGACCAGTGACCAGTGACCAGTGACTCAGCAGTGACCAGTTACCAGCTACCAGTATTTTAGACACGCCGTGTAAACAAAAAAGCAGTAGTTTATATGCTACCTGCAAGAGAACCTGGCCAGAAAATTAACTCCATTAATAGTGCTTCTGCTATTTGTACACTTACATGATTTAAGGTACCATGAATTTGGTTTTGTCTCTGTTCATCCAATGAGCTGCAAAAATAGAAAAGAATTAAGAACAGTCATTACTTTTGTTTACCTACGATACATGTTTACTACCAACAGGTTACATATTCAAAGGGGTATGTTTTCAGATTTAAAATTTTACATTGTATGATATCATGTGATTCCATACATGCAAGGGCAGTTCGTATTATAAACAACCTTCAATCATTGTTAGCAGATAACACATGCCTCACTAAATCCAACTGGCTGCCCATTTCTTACTTTGTAAAGGATCCATCTGATGTTTATGAACAAAGTATTCATTTTATGAATCTTTGAGTCATTCCACATGTGAACTTTTTCAAAAAGAATAACCTCTAGGTAGTCTCACATAAAAAAAATTCAACATAATGAGGGGGACAGTTCTAGGACTCAGGTCCTCTGCTCCCTCCTTTATTAGGCCTTGCTTTTTCTGGCAAACAATAAAGTATTTGAACTGTTATTTATGTGTCTGTAGTTAATTAACCTGTGTAGGATTATGCATTTTATCCTCTTGCTCCTTCATGTTTGTATTTTTAGCTTAAATGCTATTTATTTTAGAAAGGTCCACATCAGCCCTTTGGCTGCCTTAATTTGACCTGCTTCATCAAATAAAGTATGTATGTATGTATGTATGTATGTATGCGTGTATATATGCGTACGTGTATGTATTTATGTAATTATCATTCCCAGCGGATAAACTGTAGACTTCATCTGCTATAAAAGTGCTCAATGGAAAACCAGAGCTGTAAATAGATAGATATGTGGATTCAGACTAATTCCAACACATTTATTCGCTACTTCAAGTTTCATGCTTCTTGCAAAGCAACCACCAGACAACTGCCACAAAAAACAGTTAAAATCTCAGACATACACATTTAAAAATAGGGAACAAAGCTTCACAGCGTGTCATATTGAAATGTTATTGTATGATGGAAGTGTAACAGTCTTGCATATAAAATACAATTAAGCAATCACAGTATTTAACAGAAATTTCTTAGAGTGTCTACAGGTTGAAGTCAGATTGTTTCTATGATCAAGTGTTGACATTTCTGGTTTACAAATGATGAAAAACTTTTCCCATAAACACAGGTTACATTTTTTTGTTGATGTTTGAGTACGATTTCGCTTGTTTCACTTTTCTCCATTTGATTTCGTAATTTATTTTATGGTACTTCACATTCCATATGTGCTTGCTTAGTTCAGTTAAATTTCGGTACCATTTATTTCTGAAAGTGCATGTGTGGTTTCTATACCGTTCTTTGAAAGTTGTGTTGCAAAGACCGATGTATGTTTCTTTTGATTCTGGGGTGGTGACATCTGCTTGGTAAATACTGTTCCTCACATTGCAATTTCTGTCTAGGGGGCAAGAATTCATGTTACGGTAATTACAATCCATTTCATCAGATGAGTTTAATTCGTTGTTAAGCTCCGCCTTGTTGTGGTTAGAGATTACGGTCTTGACATTGCCCATGCAGCTATAGCTCAGTTTTAGAGTGTTCTGGTTACATTTCACCAACCAGTAGTATTTTAGATGGCTTGAGTAGGCTACTTTACCTGAGAGGTCTGATTCAGTTACATTACCAGGTGAAACAATCTCTTACCTTAAGCATAGATAAGGATGAAAATGTATTGTAATCTGCTCCCTCATGAAATCAAGATGGATGCCAAGTCTTGTGAAAGTGCTTCATCCCTTTGCAACCTCCATGATACCTTGAAGAACAGAACTGGAGCTTTAAAAGCTCTTAGAGAGAAATTAGTAAGCCATGGATGTCTTTTGTTACCACTGTTTGAGACCAAGTTGCCATCAAAATTGCTAGAGAAGTGGGAGTTAGAGCTTACAGACAGAGGATGAAACTGATCTTATTTGTTTTAATACAAGTTCTTTAATTGCCAAGAAGCAGGTGAGAGAAACCAAGATGTAAATCCCAGCCTCTGTGGTCAAAGATGTGTTAAGGCTGGATATGATACAAGGAAACAACCATTCAATCAAACAAGTGACCAAAATCTTGTCATCTGCTTCCAATCTGTTTAGTAAGGCAAGACTGCCAGCAAATCCAGGTAGTAGGTTTGCAAAGCAAATCACAAGACACTGAAGTCTCCTGAGTGGAACTGAGAACCAGTTAATCATAGGTAGAACCTAGTCCAAGAGAACAAGATAACCAACAACAGACATTTTTTACAATTCACCAATCCAAATATTAAGTTGTTAAAGGAAAAACCCGCAAGTCACTGGCAGTGAGCAATCTCACTGACTTGATTTGTAGACAGCTTTTAAAACCACACTGAGACAGCAAATGCAACTATATCACACGAAGAGTATGCAGTCACTGACTTAAATGATGGAATAGGCTTTGTTGATGAGAATTAGGAAGTTCAATTGCCATGGAAGGAAGATCATCCATAGCTGAAGAGTAACAATGTGCAAGATATAAAACTTCCTGAACATGAAATGTCAGAGATGATGGATGCAGCATTCAACTTGGACAGATAGAATGGTGACACTCCACTGTATCAGGGGACAGTTCTTGCCAGAAGCCATTTATAGCCAATTGACTTTCAGAGATACAGTCGCCATAGGCATGACTTTTCCATTGATTTAAACTTCCTGTGAAGTTCGATCCTTTTTGATGTAGAAAAAATGCTGTCCTTTGTCCCAACGACATAATTATTGTGGTCACATGTCTAATGATATCATCAATTTGGCAAAAAAGACCTTTGCATGGGGTGAGAATGATTAACTTGAGCTCAATGTCAAGTAAGGTCATTCCTTGTCTCTAACCAAAGAATTCATTACTGTACTGAATTACATAATTCTACTCACAAGATACTGAGAGGCAAATTATGTCATGCGAGCAGCTTTTGACAATCCTTGTCAACCATTCTGGCCAGGATCATAAAAAAGACAACCATGTTATAACAGTAACATTTCACCACCCACTTCACAACTTCACCACCCTGTTGAATTTTTTTAATCCAATTAAACAGAGATAACAGGTCGTGTGGCCAAAATATGTTGTACGTAACGCTAAAAATATGTCAAGGTCATTGTGTTTAATACTGTAGCCAAGTCTGAGGCAAATTAGGCAGTGAGCCATGCCTTAACATGCTTGAGAGTGACCACATGAAGATGTGCCCCTCGCTACTAGAGGCTTGCAAAGAGGAGAGAAGAACTACCCATGTTTACACATCTGTTACAGCAAAGCCATTACTGATGTCTGAATATGGCCCAAAGGTGAAATTAATCAGAGTAACTGCTTAGGACCATGTGCTTAGGACCAAGTGCAGTAAGGATGATTGAGATGCTATATGTGGATACAAGATGTTTTTATATAGATTACAAGAGGATATTCAGCTGGAGTTGGAGATCCAGTGCTCAACAATAGTTACCTTCTGAAACTTTACCCCTATTAAGAGAGATCTGCTTAAGTAATTCAGGTATACTGTAGGTGGTGGGGTGCAATTTGCAGATTAAATGACGAAACTAAAGAGCCAATAATTCTACAACATGGACACCCAGAAGTTGCTAAGATGATGCTACATAGTGCATACTGGTCTTGAAATCATATTGTCAACTATAATACAAGCATTTTGGCTTATCCAAGGAAGACATGAAGTTAAACATGTCATTAGAAAGTATGTTCTGTCCCAGAAAAAGCAAGTTGGACCCTGTGATCGGATGATGGGAAAACTACCAGACAAAGGAGTTCAAACATCCTTAGCATTATTTTCCAGGGGTATCTAATCCATGATCAATGACATCAAGGAATAATCAATGAGTAATTGATGGGTAATCACTGATTATTCATTGATTATTGGTGATGATCGATGAGTAATTGTAGCCCAATAATTTTGTGGCCTATCAATTACCGCACTCACTGATGTCATTGATTGCTCATGGATGATATTGATTAGTCATTAATATTATTGATTACTCATTAATAACTTATTGATTACTCAACCATTACCCATCAATTACCCATCAACTATAATTCCGTGCTAATATCACAAAATTTGTAATATTAAGGCAGAATGATAGTCGATGAGTAATCGATGAGAAATTTAATTTCTTGCTTTTTTGTACTGATATTTTGTTAATTCTTTTATCTCTGTTCAACGTGCTTGTCTTTTATAACAGGCGTTCCTGTTTACGTAATTACGCCTATGCTAAAGGCCAAACAATGTAAGACACCTACCAGCATGTCCAGACACATGGATCAGTAACCACAAATACAGATTTGCAAATTTTCACTTTATTTATGAACAAAAATAATAGCTGAACAGTAGCCAGTCTGAAAATGACACTAATGAGCACAGGAATTGCCTATGTGGTTGTAGATTTCTCACGGCAGACATTTGTCTTAGGCAAAGAACCATCACAAGCAGATACATTAAGGCATACGGGTACATTTGCAAGCAACATCACTTTCATTGCTTTGTACATGTTCATATCTGCACTTGACCTTGTAGTGTGGGTATGGTGTGTACAAGCTTTGGCAGTGCTGAAAAGATTCACAAGTTCTGACATTTTTGCTTTTGAGCTAAATGCAATTCCTTTATCTTTTAACAGTTGTTTCGAAACCTCTACTGTCATATCTTCTGCTGGGCCCGGTTTCAGTTTAGCAGTGGCAGCAGCAGTAGTAAAAAATAAAATTACCTATTAAATCTTATAACTGCTCACCTCTTTTCTCATTATCTTCGCACTTTTTCTTTTTATTACTTTTTATTTTTATTCACTTTTTCTTAACTTTCTATTCTTCTATTTATTGATGATAATAATAAAGTCTGCATGTGAGCCAAGTGGCCCATCAGGTCGGAGCTTATCCCGGTTTCTGTAGCATGAAGCAACTAGGAGTATTTCTACTCCCCCCTGGATGGGATGCTAGTCCAT